CGCTTGAAACCAAGCTGATAGGTGTTTGCAGTGTTTGAATAATTTTGTACATCTTCAATTCAGTAAGCAAATAAAAAGTCTATAGAAAACATGCATTCAGTGTGCACAAGAATATACATATGTATATATAAATATGCATGAAATATGTACATTTAAGAACTATTCTGTTTCTTCTCAGTGAATCAGAGATCTCTGATTGTATAGCACCAGCTGTAGTGAAGTCATAGTCCTGATCTCTTGCTAGATCTCTTAAACACTCTGAGAACACTAATAAGAATGAATAATTATTTTCATTTCCTACAGAAAAAAAAATCTTAATTTATTGATTCCTTCAATTTTAATGAGTTCTGCCCATAAAATGTGGCTGAAGCAACACCCAAAAGCATAGGCTGGGTTACGTGTGTGCAACCCTGACTCTCACATGGAACAGACTCACTAGCACCAGTCTTGCGAGTGATGAGAGAGCTGCTGCTGAGGATCTAATGACAGCTGGTGTTTTGTTGTTCTATTAGAGAGAAGTGGAAGAGCAGGATGGATTCTGCTATGTGCATTACTATGGTTGATTCATGTTACATCAGAAGTCTTGGAAAGACGATAAACCAATACATGAACTAGCACAAAGGTTATTGAAATTTTAGTATTGATACTGTTTGTGTCATAGTATGTTTATGTTTTTGGGAAAGCAGAGACCTTAAGTTTGCATGTGTAACCATAATTTGTTTACTGTGTAAACAGAGTACTACTGGAGTAGAACCGTTGCAGGAACATCAAAGATACACTTGTATTGACAATAATGTTATGTTCATGTAGAGATGGACTATCAGCTCTGGACTCTTATTTAAGTGATGGATAGAAGATTTATTTCCTAAAAAGTCTTTTTGGCTTAATTTTAAAAAACTTAATCAAAGTTTGAAATAATTGTGAGAGAAGAGATATATTAAACAGCTTTAATTATAGAGTTTCTTCCTTACAGATTTATCTTGTCATTTGGGTAGTCGGTGGTGCATACTTTGCATTAACCTGTTCTTTAGAAGTTGATGCTGTGATGTTCTACAGTGAAATTTGAAGTACTTTACTAGGAAAAAAGCATAGAAACATCTATGCTTGAGTATATAGCTCAAAGACAAAAGAAAAAATAATTATTGCATAAAGGGCATAACTCTAATTTGTGTTTTGCCGCAGAAATAGTAAGTTAATTACCAGAGACACTGTAAGTACAGTCACAACAGGAGAAAATGAATTAACAAGTACACTTTTCTCAAGAATAAAACAATATAGAAAACCAGAAAAGAACGAAAACTGCTAAAGAGTTTTTGTTTAAAGAGAATGGGTGGGTCCACACGCTTAAATTCTGTGGTCCTAATTTTTGAGAATAGATTAGCATAAATCAGGATTATATTCAGTGTCAGAAACTTAAGACTTTTAAGTTATTGTATTTCTTTAGGCTACAAAAGCTCTGACTGAAGCAGACAAGAAACAAGTGAGTTTGCTGTATTACCTATATGGATACAGTAGGCTTAGCGAGTATTCGGGATTTTCTATAATTTCACCTGCTCCAGTTTTGCTACTTTTTTTTTTCCAGCTAATACTAACAGCTTGTACTAATTTCTACTGTAGCTTCTGCAAGAAATTGTCATCAGCTACGAATAGCTTGAGGACTATAAAAGAAAACATAACTGATTTTTAGGTATTCCTCTTCTGTTTAGCAGAGCATCTAGTGGAGCATTAGAATCAAGGCCAATGCTTCTCACTTGCCATGTTTTTAAGCATAGTTCGTGGAAATTCAATTTGAGTGGAATGTTTTCTAGAGATTAATTCAGAATCTGTCACCTTAAGCAGAAAAACCCCCAAAACCCAAGAGCCCCTTTTGGAAATCATGACAATCATGTTTATTCTTCCCTTCTTGCATTAAGCAAATGGTAATTAAAAATCCTGTAACATTTTTCTAGACAGTCTTTTTGTTGAAACTTTTATTATTGAGTGCAAGGGAAAGCTTCAGGATGGGAGGCCAAACTTCAGTTCTCAAAGCTGTGCCTGTTGATGCCTGGTTGTTCAAATGAAGATGAAAATTCCTCAGTGCACTCTCAGTAGAAGTGAACTTCAAGATTTCATGGTAGTCTTTTAACCTCCACCATCTTATTTTTTCCACTTTCTTGCGCATGAGGTATTCTCATGGTTATGATTTAACAGCAATTTATTATTTATTTAAAGTGTAAGGTATTTCGTGTGGTATTTAATCAATAACCAGTTTGATATTTACAAGGTGATTCTGAAAAGTAGATTATGATTAAAACAGTGACCTAATTACAGATGACAGAATGACGAGAATAAGATTCAAACTAACTCACTACGAGGTATTCTAAATCAAAATATACATGTATAGGTATGTACAAACCATGCCAATCAACAGTAATATTTGGATCCAGAATATATAGATACTCACATTTATATAGGCAAATGCATGTAAGCAGAGAGGTGGATGAAAGAAGCATGCATAGGTACAATTTCTTGTGTTCAGAGCAAATACTCACAAAGCATCAGCATTCTTCAGTGGGCAATAATTGAGCCTCAAGAAGGACTGGCTTTTCCCTGGAGGAGTTGTCTCGAGGAGCTGGTGCCTCAGAGGAGTCCCAGCTCAGGGGAGATGCTGGTCGCAATTGGCGCCCGAACAGGATTTTTAAGCGACTCCGGCGGCAACTCTGCAGCCGAGGCTGGGAAGACAGCAAACAGGATTTTTAAGCGACTCTAGCGGTGACTCCGCAGCCAGACTGGGGAGGAAGGTAAATTGCACGCAATGACTTTCAGTACTTGCTGTTGAACGATCAGTGCGTGGCTGTGGTAACATGTGCCAATCAGTGTCCTGGGAGCACAGTATTTTGAAGGGACAGGGATTTTCTGTCCGAAAACCTAGCTTAGTTAAACTTTTGGCTTGGATTAGAAATCATTGTTCATGGTTTCCTAGTACCGGTACTTGTGATAGCTCTATGTGGGCTAGGGTGATGAAAGAAATGCAGACAAAAAAAGATTCGGTGATTCCAATGCCAGATGAATTGTTTGTAACTTGGCAGATAGTATGTATTGCCTTAAAAGCATTGCAGCTAGCAATTTACTAGAGACGAAAGCTGCTGCTGTTTCAGAGCACAATGCTGTGCAGGGAGAGAATGATCGGGCTGGTGATGAGGAGGTGCCTCATGGTACTTTTGACCCAGGATCTATTAATCCTGAAAAGGAATCTGGTTTATATCCACCATTAATGTCAGTTCGGGCTGTGGCTGCTGCAGCACCTACGGCACAGAGCTTTTGGAAAATGCAAGGAAAAAACATTATTTAACTCCTTCTGCACCTCCATACCCCGAATTGTTGATAGATGCCTCCCCAATTGTTCTATCAGATGATAAAAAAATGGTTCAGCCTTCTAAGTCACAAAATTGATGTTTGGCACTGGAACAGTGTCAGTTAGAGGCTCTGAAAAAGGGGACACTGATAAGCTTACTGTAATGCTGGTTTTGTATCGTCCGCAATGACCTCCCAAATACACCCAGATTTCTTATGAAATGGTAAAAGAGGTTCGTAACGCAGTTAAAGATCATAGATTACAAAATGATTACACCATGAATTTAATAACAGCTATAGGAGAAAGTTATGTTGTGACTCCTTATGGTTGGAAACTGTTGTTAAAAACGATTTTGACTGCTGCCCAGCTCACGGTATGGGGCGCTGAATATAAAGATCTAGTGACGGTACAGATAATGAATAACTTTGCAAATGAGGCAGGTTGGGGTACGGATGAGTTAATGGGGAAGGGTGCATTTGCTACTCCTCAAGCTCAGGCGCAATTGCCTAGACCAGTATTACAGCAAGCCACACAATTAACCCTTAAAGCGCTGTGAAGGGTTCCAGAGGCAGGCAGGGAAGATCGTCTTTTGTATCAGTACAGCAGAGTCCTCAAGAGCCTTATGTTACTTTTATAGATTGCTTACAAGCAGCGATATCTCGGCAAATTGAAAATGAGCAGGCTGCAGATGCAGTGTTGATGCAGCTGGCACAATGAAATGCTAACGCTGACTGTCAGAAAGCTTTAGCAGCAGTCAGAGGCACAGCGAAAACACTCGCTGAGTTCATAAAGGCATGCCACAGTGTGGGTTCAGATGAATATTGGGCTTCTCTACTTGTGGCTGCTTTAGCGCAAACATCAACTGTGGGACGAGCCAGTATTCGATGTTTTGGATGCTTACAAGAAGGACATATAAAAAAGGATTGTCCAAATTTAAAACAATCAGGTGCTAATAAGAAACAGCATAAAGATATGTGTTCATGTTGTAATAAAGGGTATCATTGGAGTAATCGGTGTCATTCTAAATTTGATAAGCAAGGATGACCAGTTCAGGGAAATGGACGGAGGGCTGTGAAACCCGGTGCCCTGCAATCCAACAAGGTTTGTTGTCCTCACATCCCTCAGAACCAGACGCCACCTGCACGCTGTCATGTAGTAAACGATACGTCACAGAACTCGCAGCCAGCACGGCAGGCAGTGCTGGTTTGGATTTGGCCACAGACACCGATACAACAATCATAGATTCAGCAGTAACATTATTGAGCACAGGAATACATGGCCCATTGCCCCAAGGGCTTTGTGGTTTGATTCTTGGTCGCTCATCGGCAACAAAAGTAGGTCTTTTTGTTTTGCCTGGAGTAATAGATTCAGATTACACTGGTGAATTAAAAATCATGACTTGGACACCACAGCCGCCTTGTACAATTCCTAAAGGGCAAAGTATAGCTCAGCTGCTCTTAATACCTTATTCAGTCCCCGTAGCTGTAACACAAACCAGAGGAGAGGGAGGCTTTGGTAGCACCGGACAGCCACAGATACGGTAGACTCAGAGAGTTTCCACTGCTCAGCCGTTGTTAACAATCCACATAAAGGATCGATCTTTTACTGGATTGTTAAACACTGGTGCTGATGTGTCCATCATTGGAATAAAAGATTGGCCATCAGCATGGCCCCTGGAACATGTGCGTGCTGCAGTAACTGGTATAGGAGGCACGCAGGTTCCTTTGCAAAGTGCACAAACACTGATGGTGGAGGGACCAGAAAATCATACTGCTGTATTGAAACCTTATGTTTTGCAAGTTCCCTGCACACTGTGGGGAAGAGACTTGTTAAGTCAGTGGAATATGACACTCATCACAACTTTACCAAATTTAGTGTAAGGGTTGCTGATCTAAAGGCCCAACTCAGACTGATGTGGCTTACGACTAATCCAGTTTGGGTTGATCAGTGGCCCCTAAAAGGGGAAAAATTGTCCAAGGCAGAAGAATTAGTTACAGAGCAATTGCAATTGGGACACATTGTGCCATCTACTAGTCCTTGGAATACTATTTTTGTGATACCAAAGAAATCTGGAAAATGGAGATTGTTACAGGATTTACGAATGATTAATGCTGTAATGCAACCTATGGGACCATTACAACCTGGTGTTCCAAATCCTACCTTGATTCTGGCAGATTTGCCTTTATATATAATTGACTTAAAGGACTGTTTTTTCACCTTTCCTTTGCATCCCGATGATTGTCACCATTCTGCCTTTTCAGTACTCTCTGCCAATAATCAGGCCCCAGTGAAGCGTTATGAGTGGGCTGTGTTTCCACAAGGCATGACCAATAGTCCCACTGTTTGTCAACTTGTGGTAGCGACTGCTGTTGAACCCACCCGATGTGCTTATCCACAGGCACATATTTATCATTCCATGGATGATATTCTTTTAGCTGCTGAGCAACAGGCTGATGTCTTGGCAGCTATGAATCATTTGTGGAACTCATCAGACATTTATGGGTTGCAGGTTGCACCTGACAAGATTCAATCCGAACCTCCATGGAAATATTTAGGGTGGACATTATTAGAACGTATCATTGTTCCTCAAAATGTAAGATTAGTGAACTCTGTAAAAACTTTGCATGATGCCCAAAAATTGCTAGATGTCATCAATTGGCTGAGACCATTGTTAGGTATCACTACACAAGAGCTGACAAATTTGTTTGGCATACTTAAAAGGGGACCCTGATTTGTGTTCCCTGCGTGAATTAACTCCTGAAGCACTTCAAGATTTACAGTTGGTCATGAACGAAATTGCAACAGGGTTTGCAGGAAGAATTAGTACTCATCTACCATTATCATAATTTATAATAATTTATGGATTATATGGATTTCCATATATGGAAAATATGGATTTCCAACCATACGGCCTCTTTGGTCAATTTAATGCAGACAATTTTCAGTTAATAATTTTGGAGTGGATTTTCCTATCACACACTCCAAAGAAGTCAATTACTACGCAACTGGAATCCATTGATCAGTAATTATGAAAGGTCACTTGCGTGTACAACAGCTAACAGCTAACAGCTAACAGGCAGAGACCCAGATTGTCTTTATGTCCCGTTTCAAGAAGACCCCTTCCAGTCATTGTTAAGAGAATCAATAGACTTACAGGTGGCATTGGCTGATTATTTTGCTGATATTAAATTTGTTTATCCACAGCATAAGCTTTTGCATTCTTCACCAAATTTAGAACTACAGCCTGAAGCGATAGTGTCACCTGTACCTTTGCAAGGAGGGAAAACCATCTTTATTGATGGCTCAGGAAAAACTGGTAAAGCTGCAGTAGTATGGCAGGATGTTGTTGATTGGAAAGCCTCTGTCATAACTGTCGAAGGTTCCGTGCAGGTAGTTGAACTAGCTGCTTTATTACGTGCTCTTCATCTTTTTCCCACAGAAATAATAAATATAGTTGCAGATTCACTATATGTTGTAGGTGTGGTTCAGTGATTGTCTAATGCCTTTATAAAGGAGGTCCGAAATCAAAAGCTTTTCCAATTGTTTATTGACATAGCAGTTGAAATTCGAAATCGAAAACACAATATTTTCATTATGCACATTCATTCTCACACGTCACTGCCTGGCCCCATAACAGAGGGGAACAGAAGGGCTGATGCATTAACCGTGCCCATTTTCCAAACACAAAGATTTGAACGTGCCAGAATATCACACTCCTTTTTTCATCAAAATGCAACTAGTTTACAAAAGGAATTCAGTATCACAAAGTCTCAGGCTCATGATATAGTTCGTGCCTGTGCAGGTTGTCAACAGTATGTCATACTCCCTACCACTGAAGGTGTAAATGTTCGAGGACTGGCTCCTGATGAAATATGGCAAACTGATGTTGCACATCACAATTCTTTTGGGAAAATGAAGTACATTCATGTGACTGTTGATAGTTTTTCTGGGTACATTATTGCACTGGCAGCAGCAGGGGAGAAGTCAAAGGATGTTCGACGTCACTGGCTTCGCTGTTTTGCCATTCTTGGTGTACCTAAGCAAATTAAAACAGATAATGGCCCAGCTTATATTGCACAGGCTACAGCATTATTCCTACAACAATGGAATGTTAAGCATGTCACTGGAATTCCACATTCCCCAACTGGTCAAGCGACTATTGAAAGGGCACATCAAAATCTCAAGCACATGCAGCTTAAACAAGAAAGGGGGAATAGCCCATCCCCACAGGAACAGCTTGACAATGCTACATATACACTTAGTTTTTTGAATCCATCTTCTCAACATTTACATACAGCTGCCACGGAAAGACATTTTCAAGGTACACCTCACTTTCAACATGGGCCAAAGGTCTGGTATCGTGACCTTCCTGGACCATCAATTTGGAAAGGTCCAGTAGAACTAATTACTTTGCGAAGAGGGTATGTGTGTGTTCTTCTTCCCACAGAGCCGTGATGGTTTCCGGCTCGAAATGTAAAACCATACTATGAGCTGGAAGGATCCAATCAACAATCCTCTACCAGAAATGAAGCAACTGAGGCTCAAATTGAGGATCAGAGGTAAACCAACTGGGACGCCTGCCATGATCACCTGGGAAATGGTGACGCAACTGGATAACACAGCAAGTACCATTGTTATAAGGGAGCCCAACAGGAATGCACTTCAGGACAAGTTTTCTTTATAATTAGAGCAAACTTAGTAATTGGAGCAGAAACATCTTGGCACACTGATACATCCTGGTACATTTTGAAAAAACAGTAAGAGTGCCTCTTCAGATCTGCCAGGAACCACCAGAGACCACCAAAAGACCCCTTGTACTCAAGTGCAGTTGATTCAAGAATGATTAAACAAATATTTAAATGCCTTATATTTAAATTGCAGCCAATCATTGTAACTCTGATTGCAAAATCCTGAAACTTCTGTGTGTAAATATACCAAGAAAAGTGACCATACCTGTGTGAGCTTGGATGTAATAATGCCCCTTACACCCAACGTCAAATAAAGAATGCCTGCTTCTTAATGCTACATT